TCAGCTTCCCTGGAAAAGGGACTGGTTGCTGGTAATGGTGATGCCTGGGCCTCTCTCTATGGGCTGAGCAGAAAGGGGAAGTGTGGTCAGGCTGGCACTTGCTGCTCTGAGGTGGGTGGAAGGCCTGTGGGCAAGGAACGCCCCTGATCAACTGTGTCTGAGCCACGGCACTCAGGACACTGCTGTCCCCTCAGCTGCTCACATCTGGTCACCCTTGCGACCCAGGTAAGCATCTGGGCATGTGTTGGTGTGTGAATGACTGCCTAGACTTGGGCTGGGGGATTGTAGCTGGGGCCTTGGTATGACCACTGGGTGGGGTTGGAGGAACACTGGTGTTGTAATATCCACTCTGGCGGTCACTGGTTGGGTGACCTCAGAATCACTGCACTTCTCTGGGCCTCCATTCCCTTGTGTGTGTGTAGGGGTGATGAAGACGCCTACGTCTCAGGATGGTTGTTATCATCCTGGATGGTGAGTTTTGGTAAATGATATGTGAGAGGACCCTGTGTGAGAGCTTCTATGCTGGAGGTGGGGGTGGAGTTGTCGTGACTGTGAACTTTGGGCTACAGCTTGGAGCAGCTGGATGAAAAACCTAGACCACCACCAGCCTAGGCTGTCTTTGTCACCGCAGTCTCTGGCCTTCAGGGATTTATTTATAAGGCATCCTGCCTTCCAGAGGCCCTGGGATCAAGGTGTGTCGGGCTGGGATCAGATCTCCATTGCGCCATCTGCTCTTGCCTTCTGGAAACTGTTAGTTTCAGCCCTGTCTCTGTTCTTTCACCTGCTTCCACTTCCACCTCACGCCTCACTTGTCCCCAAAGCCACTCCATTTCCTTCCCCTTAACACCTACTGACCTCTGAGGAGAACAGAAAGTGAAAATTTCTAAGCCTGGAGGAGACAAGGCCTGGGAGCTCCTTTTTATTTTTTTTTAGGATCTTTTTCCCCCTCTGAAAATTGGAAAACTGCAGAGACATTGGGAACAATGACCCTAAATCCCACCACCTCACAACAGCTGCGGGAAAGAGCTTGTTTTTTGCCTTCTAATTTTTTTTTCTAAATATAGATACTTTGAAAAGTTATCATTGTTTTACACTGATGTAAATGCATTCTAGAAATAGAAATACAAACTGTCATCAGGGTCCAGGTATCCCTGCCCCCTCCACCCACTTACAACACCAGCATTATTGCCAGAGAGCCACTGAGTGACAGGTTTTGAGTTTTCCTCCACATTCTTAGAATCAAACAAATAAGAAAAGTAAGCAATAGCAAGAGACAATTTGGTTGGACCTAAAGAAGGACTTCTGAATTGTAGAAATCCCGGGATAAACGTACTAGGAAGCTTGAATAATCTGCCCTCTGGAAGGCTCCACTAAGGGTGAACACATCCCACCAAACATCTCAGAGATTCTAGAAAAGAGACCGGTCTGGGAGCAGGAAGCAGATGTGATACCTAAATTTTTTAAAATGTCTTTGTTTTATGCACCATGCAAGGCTGAGTGGTAGAGAAAGAAAGAAGGTTCCTACTCTCGCACGTTAAAAAATCAAAATGGTTTTTCTGTGTTTTCTCCCAGTCATCCCCAGCCATATACTCAGGTAACAGTACATGACAATGTGACAACACAATGTTGTATTCTGTTCTTTTCATTTTATGCGATTTCGCAATAGTCCCTCTCATGATGTTTTACTCCTGCCACTGGATTGCTGCATCCTATCCCATCAAGTGGTCCTTCTGTAAGTTTCTTCCCCAGTCCCCCAGGGTTTGCCTGCTGGGTAGCTCCCTGTTGATCTATACTGAGGTGCACATATTTATGCACTTAGGTTTTACTTCCTTTGGATTACTTCTTAGGTTAGGTTTCTAGAAATGATCTTATGGAATCAAAGGATAGGACCATTTGTTTTCAAAAAAAAAAAATTAAGTCAATGTATATAGCCAATGGCCATGTGGGAGGATCTGTTTCACCACAACTTTGCCAGAATATGATTTTATTATCAGTTTTCATTTTTGTTAGCAAATTGACATAGTTTCTAACGGCGGGCAGACAAATATGCCAACGGTGCAGTAAACTATAATGGGTGATTATGTACGAACAGAGTCAAGTCCCATAATGAAATAAATCAGACAACAAGGTTAACCTGGGAGTAATGGGGTGACAAGCCATCATACTGAAGGAAGTGCATGCAGTCATTGTAGCTCTCCATGGCCAAAACGGCCTTAGAGCTCTAGGATTTGTAGTCAGCCTTTCACAGAAATGGGAGGATAGAAGGAGAAGAGAAGCTGGACTCCTTTTAATTACACTGCCCTGCCCTTCCCCAGGCACACTTGACTTTTAAGTTGCCATCAACCACCCACATGGCCTTTTCTGGTGCTGACATCAGCCAGGAGGTCAGCTGGGAACTTGCCCTCACTGAACATGGGCGTGACAACCTGGGAACTAGAGGTGAATTCAGGCAAGAGCTGCTCATGCTGACGTGCTGCTAGTGTTAGCCTGAATAGTATCTACAGTCTCCCAGACACGTGATCTAGGCTGAGAGCAGCTCAAACCCTCATCCCATGACCTGCTCATGTACAAAGCCCTCCATTTTGGGGTCTCCAGGAGGCCACCCCTTTCCCATGGTTAGCCCTGGCTCCAAGCCTTGTGGGTGAACCTCTGTCCCGTACTGTACTGACCCAGGGGTGAAACTCAGTCCCTTTCTTGGTTCCCTGCAATACCAAAACAAAACAAAACCCTGCAACATTGACAGATGCAATAGATTTTACTAAAGATTGGGTGGGGTGGGGGATAGGGCACAGGAGAGGTTTCTAAAGCAGCAATTCAAATGACAGCTCTGTTCTTAAAATGTCATGGCCATTCCTGAGCACCTCCTGTCAGTTGTTTCTCCCCGCTTTGTACCATCTGGCTTGCTCCCCATCCTCTCCTCCTCCATTCCTTTCATCTTCTTCCCCAGAACTCCAAATACCCCTGCCCACCAATACCCAGAGGAATTCAACATTCTCCGGTTCCCACCAGCAAGCTTCCTTCCCTGCCCAGCCAGCGAAGTCCTTTAAAGGCAGCTCATTCTCTTTTTCACTTTTATTTTTCCAGTGAGGTGTAATTAACATTGATAAAATGCTCGGGCCTTAAATGTGCAGTTCAGTATACTTGACAATTGGATATACAGTAATACCTTGGTTTGCGAGCATAATTCATTCCGGAAACAAACTACTCGTATTGCAAGGCATCGCTCGTTTACTAAGTTAAAATGTATTAGAAATGTTTGCTCGTCTTGCATAACACTCGCAAACCAAGTTACTCTCAATCCAAGGTTTTCCTGTACTCTGTAACTATTGTCCCAAACAAGATGTAGAATATTTCCATCACTCCAGAAAGTCCCCTTGCACCCCTTTCCAGTCCCTTTTCCTTCTCCATTGAAACCACTATTTCCATTACAAATGAGTACTTTAGTCTGTTCTTGAATTTCTTTTTTTTAAAGATTTTTATTGGGGAATTGGGGGATGGGAACAGCGCTGGGGAATTGGGGGAAGGGGAACAGACAAGTTGGTGTTGTTCTGGAGGACATTGCTTCACTCGCCCAAGTTGGCACCATCATTGCGCTCTTCCCAGGTGAGGCAGATCGGTCGCTGGCTTCTGGACGGCTGCTCACCGTGGCTGCTGGCTACACACAGTAGCCCATGGCAACCCACTGCAGCAGGGGCTGCAGCCCACACCGTCGCCGGTGACTCAGGCGACTCACGGCAGCCCAGCTCCAGGTTGAGCTGTTGTTCATCATCTTAGCTGTAGAGGGCAGTGTCACTGGCCCTCATATGTGGGATCCGAATCGGGGCCCTCTGGTGTCCCAAGCCAGCTCTTAACCAACACGCCACTCGGCCAGCCCTGTTCTTGAATTTCTTATAAAGAGACTCATACAGGCTGTTTCTTTTACATCTGGCTTCCTTCACTTAATGTTTTCAGGATTCATCTATGTTATTGTGTGTATCAGGAATTCATTTTTTAGAATTTCTAGGTAGTTATTTATTGCATGAATATATCAGCCTGTTTATCCATTCTTCTGTTGAATTCATTCTGTTTTTACAGTTTCACAGTCTTTGAGTAAAGTACGACATGGTTGATATTAAGAATATGAGTGTGAACAGGGCAGAGGAAGAAAATTTTCAATTTGGGGGAGGTGGAATAAAAAGAGGAAAAAAAGCTGAAATTAATTTTAATAATACATTTTACTTAACCCAATAGATCCAACATATTATCACTTCAATATGTAACCCATATAAACATTTATTAATGAGATCTTTTACGTTCTGCTTTTCACACTAAGTCTTTGAAATCTAGTGTGCATTTCACATTTACATCTCAGCTCCAACTAGCCATCTAGCTCACTAAGTACTCAATAGAATAGCCTCCTGGGGCCAGTGGCTGCTGTCTTGGACAATGCAGGCCTCAGCTGAAGAGATTTGTGTCCAGAGGCCACACAGCCCTTAATGGCAAAAAGCAAATAGCTAGATTGGAATTCAGATCTCCCCATCTTCCTGCTGAGCTGTTTGCAAGTCTGCCTCAAGACATTTTTTGAGGCCTCTTCCAACTCCAACTTTCCGAAATTCTAATGCCCCTACACACGCATCCTTCTGGGACTCATGAGTATTTCAGATCATTCATTTTTCATGAGAAAAAGATAAAGTTTTTCAACATACAGGACATGACCATTAGTGGGTTGTGAAATACATTTAGGGGCTTACACTCAGTACTTTTTAAAAATTAAATCAGTTGGAATGGGTGAGAAAATGTTGGTTGCATCACATGTCGTAGAGACATTTTATGAAAGTTGTCTCATTTATGTGAATATACCAGTAGCCGTCACATTGTAAGCTGTATTTCTTACTGTGACAATCTCGGTTTTAAAAAAAAAGCAAATGCTAAATAAACCCACAGACTCTGGAATTCCCGATAATGGCTATTGAGTGTGACTTCTGTCACTGACTCCCCGGATGTGTCTTTTGGGGAAGTGAAAATTGGGGCTGGATGACTGTTGCTTTGAGCTGCTCTCCTCCGACACCATTCAGAATTGCAACAGGCTCACTGACAAGAATGTCCTAGGTCACTGGAGGAATGGGGAGAAATGGGAGAGTAGCTGAAACTCCACCTCCTACTGCTTGTGTGGCTTCTGCTTCCCAGTCAGCTGTTCAATGCCAGCAGTGATGACAGATGGAGGGCACGGAGCCTGCCCAAGGCCGCGTGTCCTGGTGAGGTGGCTTTGGAATTAGAATGCACAGCGCCTGAATTTCAGACCCTGGATCCAAACTGCCTACCACCCTGCATTATTGCAAGTAGCTGCCAGCAGCAGGGGAAAGAGGCCGGGGCAGCATTCGTTCATATAGTCACAGATACGTATGGCATGCCCAGTGTGTTCCAGGTGATGTTCTAGGCACTGGGAACTGAGAAAGAGAGAGGCAAGGCCCTTGCTGTCACGGAGTTTACAGGCCAGTGCGGGAGACAGACAGTGGACAAATAAACCAAAAGACAGCTGTCACGGTAAGAGGATGTGGGCTCAGTTGGAGGGAGAAATGCATTTCGTGTATTGATCCTAACACACTGGGGGAGAGGGTGGGTATCTGCCTCCCACTCCTCCCCACCCAGCACCCTGCCCATCAACTTTGACACCTACTTCAGAGAGAATGGGAGCTGTCGGTTCCATCCAGCAGCACATCCTCTCCTGATCCTTGTTCCGTTTTAAAAGCTGGTTCTTCCATCTGGGCCTGTGAAGGCATCTCCCCTGCTCCTCAGATCTCGCTCCTGCTGTCTTCTATCCCTGCATTTCCTTCTTAGTCTCTCTCCTGGCACCTTCACAGTTTATAAACACACTGACGTCTCTGTATATTAAACATACAACCTTTCCTTAACCCCAGTTTCCTCCCTTCTTGAAATTCAGGCTTCCTTTGCCTTCTGGGCTTTCATCACAACTGAGCTCCCTCGGAGCTGTTATCAGTCATGGAGGTCTCAGAGTGAATGAGATTCAGAGTCTGTCCTGAGGGTAGGATGATTGAGGGGGAAAGGGAGCCAGTACATGAGCACTGAGCTCCTGAGCAGGGAGCTTCTGGTGAGGTAGGCAGGGGATGACAAGCAGGGAGAACGATTAGACAGGTAACAGGGCCTTCCTGAACTTCGGTCCTGTCGGATCTTCATTCTCATATTGTGCTCAATTATGACTGTCCTCTAAGGACTACGGGTAAGATTCCAGGATGCCCCTGCTCCTGCCAATGCCCTTGGGAAGGAATCCTGGGGAGCCAACGAAGTTATTCACACCCTAATAAAAATCAGTTTCACTTCCTCGGTCTGGCACGCCCGGGTAAATGAGTTTAAGTAGAGGGGATGTGGGGAGAGGAGGGAGCATGGAACTTTGCCCTGGAGAGAAGTGGCTTGATGATTAAATTCTAGGCACTGTGACAAGCAGACAGGAAAAGTATTTGGGTTCAAGGCATCTTTTTAAGTACCTTTCACTCCACCCAGCTGCTGCTGCTACCTCCCATGACTGTGTGGGAACCAACCTCCAGCTTTCTCACCTGCCCCAGGTAGGGGCTCTGCAGACTGGCCGGATACAGTGTTCCACCCTGAGGACTGAGAACCACCTGGAGTGCTTGTTAAAAATACTGAGGGCCGGCTGAGTGGCTCAGTTGGTTAAGAGCTCGCTCAAGAGTTTGAGCTCTGAGCAACAGCAGTTCGAGTCCTGGCCCAAGCTGAGCAGCCGCTGAGCTGCCAACAGGTGGTAGGATGGCTCAGCCAAGAAAAAAAAAAAATACTGATACCTGAGTCCCACACCAGACCTACAAACCAGAATTGGGAGTGAAGTAGGGACGGAGGACCCTGGTATCTCCATTTTATTAATAGTGCTTTTCCCAAAGCCCTGGTGTAGTGGTCACAAATTAGGGCCCTAGAGTTAGTAAGACCTGGATTTGGCTTCTGAGTTTTCCACTGGCTAGCTCTGCGACTTTGGGCAAGTTATTGACTTCTTAAGTCTCTATTTTCTTATCTGTAAAACGGGATAATTATTATGACCTGCCTTATAGCGCTGTTGTGAGGGTTAAATGAAACAGTGCATACAGAGTATTAAAACTCGTGGTAAATTAGCACACAATGCATGTTACTTTTCTAAAGGGCATTTTCATATTGAGGTAATTATTATGTAAAACAAGTCACAGCTAAAAGCTGAGGTCTTGCCAGTATCATAAGTAAGTGTTCTGCTTTAAATTCTGTAATGAAAAAAAAAACTTTTATCAGCTTGGTGTCAGCCTGGCAGAGTAAAGAGAACATGAACTTGGGCATCAGACTGGGCTGAGCTGCCATCTGCAGTTGGCCAATTAGTAGCTGTGTTGCCTTTGAGCAAATTGTTTCATCTCTCTGAATTCTGTTTCTTCGTCTGTAAAATGGGGGTAATCATAGCCCCCCAAGGTTATAATGAGGATTAAGTGATAACATGTATGTCACTGGTTCTCAGCCTTAGCCTCATATTAGAATTAGCTAGAGAACTTTATTAAAACAAACAAAATCCTGATGGCCAGGCCCTATCCTAGATCCACTAAGTCAGAGGCTCTGATGTAATGCAGCAGCAGCAGCAGTTTTTCAAGCTCCCCAGATAATTCCAAGGTTCAGGCAGGGCTGGGAACTTCAGATATTCCTCAAGTTCTTGGCCTAGGGCCTGACACACCCAAGGAACTTGACAAGTAATAACTAAAAGGTGCTCCCATAGTTTCTCTTCCCCTTCTTTTTCCATTCATGGTGTCCACCAAATGCTTCCACAGTTGACAGAACTGAGGTCAGGCCTTGCAACTCCCTTATCTCATCTCGACATCTGGGATGCCTACAGCTGTACCCACCCTACGTGCCCTGGGACCTGGTGACCTATGGTTCAGGACTGGACCAGTTCTGGTCCACATGTTGGATAGTACCCTCTTCTAGTCTATACTGGACCATGGGTTCCCACTCTGGCTCACAGGGCCCTGCATTATCTCTGAGTCTGAGTCTTGCCTTGAGAACCTTCCCATGTCAGATACAACATCGCTGGCTTTCAAGATGGAGGAAGGGGCCAGGAGCCAAAGAATATGAGTGGCCTATGGCAGTGAAAAGAACAAGGAAATGTCTTCTCCAGTGGAGCCTTCAAAAGGTGAAACAGCCCTGCCCACACTTTAATTTTAGCCCAGCGCTGTCTTGTTGGACTCCTAACCTCCAGATCTGTAAAATAATACATTTGTGTTGTTTAAGACACTGTGTTTGTGGTAATTTATTAGAGCAGCCATAGGAAACGAATATGGTTGGTTTCCAAAAATTGCTGCTGCCTGGGCTTCCACCTTGTTCCAGTAGGGACTGGCCTCCCTCAATGACATTTCAATCCAATTTCAAAACTTTCAAGTTACTTTTGATTACTAAACAGACTCATTTTAGTTTTAAAAGTTTAGGTTTGTTCAACAAAGAGGATGCCTTCTGATATGTCGTAGCTTCTAAAATCCAGTGCCCTTTGACCTCATTGGGCCCTGCAAAACCAAATTTCACAGCGCCCACTGAAAGCCAAGTTTCCAATCTCCAACTTTTTTTTTTCCCTTTGTTCTTCTTCCCCTATTACTTTCTTTTGAAAGGGTGATCTACAACAAAACCTCTGCCCACTGCATGCCTAGGAGATAAGATCTCCCAGGTAGCTGACACTTTGCTATCTTAAGAGTAAATCCACTGCACATCTACCAACATGGAAAAATGGCGAAAACAATGCTGAGCAAAAACGCAAGCTGCAGAATGATGTGTACAGAAGAGTGCTGGTTATACATGATTGATTTTGCCACATATAGCTTTATTAATAGCCCGAGAACATTACATTTGATTAAGCCAAACCTTCACTAAAGAAACGGAATTTGGAACTGAAAATCCAAATCATAATATCACAACTTAATAAATGAAGACACTGTGCCAGTAATGCACATTTTAAAATAGTAAGCCAAGTTAGGTCTTTGTAGTAATAATGGCTTTAGCAGCAGCCTAATTTTGTCCTTGTGCCTCTGCCACCTGCCTGGGTCCCTGTTGACATGGTTAATATTACTCAAAAGCATGAGTCAGAAATGGCACTATGTCAACATGCATGGTGAGTTTCCATTGGCTAAATGGTGACATGGGAAGTTGATTCTCACATAACCAGGATATCCCATGAACTCTCCCAGGCCTCAAGGATAGTTTTTTACTTTAATATTCAGATGACCTGGCAAAAGGACATTCCACGCATGAGGAGAACCCAGCCCTTCCCCCAAATCTCCCTGAATTCCTGGAGGCTACTCCTGAGTCCACCCTGCAGCCTGCTCCCCTCTGTCACTTGGAGCCTGGCAGCTGCTCTTCTCTCTACTTGCCCGTATGTCACCTGGCTTGGAAAACCATTGCACCCGTGTTATTTCCCCCCAGGCTCTGTTCATACAAGCTTTTGTTTTGCAATTTAATAGAAGATTTGATGGGAACAGAAGATTACAACACAGCATTATTCAGGCAACAATTTAAGAATGAATATTAGACCTAAAACGGCCCTACAAATACACTGGTACTTTCCACTATGGTGAATTTCTTATGATGATCTAACTTTCTGCTCTCTTCTTTATTTTTTTTTTGTCTCCCCAACTTTATTCAGATATAATTGACATATGACACTGTATAAGTTTAAGCTGTATGTCGTGTTGATTTGATACAATTATATATTGGAAAATAGTCAGCACCCAAGTGTTAGCTAATGCCTGCATTACGTCACATAATTACCTTTTTGTAGTGGGGAGAACATTTAAGATCTGCAGTCTTCTTTTTTTTTTTTTTAAGATTTTTATTGGGGAATTGGGGGAAGGGGAACAGACAAGCCGCTGTCGTTTTGTTCTTCAGTCTAGTTGTGGAGGACGTTGCTTCACTGGCCCAAGTTGGCACCATCATTGCGCTCTTCCCTGGCGAGGCAGATCA